AAAAAAAAAAAAAAGAAAAGAAAAGAAAAAAGAATGTTTCTAGATCAAAATAAGAGAAAAGCCTACAATTCAATGTCCTTTCCTTACACCTCAAAAGCATGGCTGGAGCAGTTTTTCATTTCTAACTTCTGTTAAAAACAGGAAGAATCGGAGGGTCTGGCAAGGAGCCTCAGTGGACAAAGGCACCTGATGCCCAGGCTGACAACCCGAGTTTACTCTCGGGAACCTACACAGTAGGAAGGAACTGACTCCCCAAAGCTGTCCCCTGACCTCTGCACCCAAACTCTGGCATGTGCATACCACCCCACGGTAATGATAACATGATTTAAAATTAGGGAGAAATAGAAAAGTCAAGGTCAAACAGTTGATGGCTCAACAGCAAATCTCTTCTCAAAGAAATGCAGACAAGATATGAATGGATGTTCAACTTGGCTCGAGCTGTGCGCGCATGACCCCTGCCCTCTTCTGCCATCGCTATGGCCTAAGCAGCCTTCATAGGAACCATCTCTCTCCTCTCTGGCTTCTCTGTGAACTTGTGCAGGATAAGATCCAACATCACATATTTTAGCGCTTGCAAATCCTGGGAGCTTCTTCTTTACTAAGTCTGAAACGCCTCTAGTCAAAGATCTTTATCAACGGATTCTTTACGTTCATAGGGTGTTGTACCTGCCAGTAAAACTAATGTGACCTTAGTTGTATTGAACAGTCTAGAATTAGAGACGGGCATGATGACCCTGCTTAACCCCACAGCCTGCTCAGCTTGGGAACTCTATAATTAGGGCCAAGGAGACTTTAAACGACATTTATTACAGAGCTGAGGGTGGTGGGTGCAAAACAGATGTCTCAGGAAACTCAAGGGCAACCTTCAAACATACAAGAACTTGTCCAGAGACTAGCCTTTCTCCTCCTTGGTCAGCAGAGCGGAGGGGGAGAGCCAGAATCCCGTAAACGTTTCTAATGATTGAAACTGTTGGGGCTGGAGAGATGGCTCAGCGGTTAAGAGCATTGCCTGCTCTTCCAAAGGTCCTGAGTTCAATTCCCAGCAACCACATGGTGGCTCACAACCACCTGAAATGAGGTCTGATGCCCTCTTCTGGCCTGCAGGCAGATACACAAGACAGAATATTGTATACATAATAAATAAAT